CTCCATGGATCCCTCCTCCCCCCCCCCTCCCTTCCCCCCCTCCCCCCTCCTCAGTGGGCGGAGCCTCCTCCCCATAGCCCCGCCCCCTCCGACCACGCCCCCTCCTCCTTCGGCCCCGCCCCTTTGCGCGCCGTCCTCCTCGGCCCCCCCGGCGTGGGCAAGAGCAGCCTGGCGCGCGCCTTCGCCTGGCCACGCCCCCCGGCCACGCCCACCGCCCCCCAGGGGGAGGGGCCAGGTGAGCGCCCCATAGCGGGCGCTATGGGGCGGGGGGGGGGGCCAAGGAAAGGTGGTGGGGGGGGGGGGTTGTGGGGTGTCAAACTATATGTTTTGGGGGGCGGAGAACTCGATTTTGGGGTCAGAAAAGGCGATTTTGGGACGGGGAAACGGGTTTGGGGAGAAAAAAAGCGGTTTGGGGTGAAAAGAAGAATTTTGGGGTGAAAAAAATGGATTTGGGGTCAAAAAAGGCAGTTTTGGGGGGGGAAAGTCGGGTTTGGGGTTAAAAAATGCATGTTTGGGGTCGGAATAAACGGTTTGGGGTCAAAAACTGCATTTTTGGGGTTAAAAAACCGGTTTTGGGGTTAAACACTGCATTTCTGGGGTGAAAAACACGGTTTTGGGGTCAAAAAAGGCAGTTTTGGGGGGAAAGTCGGTTTTGGGGTTAAAAAATTTTGGGGGTGAACAAACGGTTTTTTTTGGGGTAAAAAAAGGGGTGAAATAACGATTTTTTGGGGAAAAGTCAGGTTTGGGGTTAAACCCGCGATTTTTGGGGTGAAAAACCCGGTTTTGGGGTCAAAAAAGGCAGTTTTTGGGGGGAAAAGTCGGTTTTGGGGTCAAAAACGCATTTTTGGGGGTGAAAAAACGGTTTTTGGGGGAAAAAACGCGGTTTTGGGGTGAAAAACCCGGTTTTGGGGTCAAAAAAGGCGGTTTTTTTGGGGGGGAAAGTCGGGTTTGGGGTTGGAAAATGCATGTTTGGGGTTGGAAAAACGGTTTTGGGGTTAAAAACTGCTTTTTTGGGGTGGAAAACCGGGTTTTGGGGTCAAAAAACGCGATTTTCGGGACGGAAAGTCGGTTTTGGGGTCAAAAAACGCGATTTTTGGGATGGAAAGTTGGTTTTGGGGTCAAAAAATGCATTTTTGGGGTGAAAACCCGGGTTTTGGGGTCAAAAAAGGCAGTTTTTTGGGGGTGAAAAGCAGTTTTTTGGCGGAAAAGTCGGTTTTGGGGTTAAAAAATGCATTTTGGGGGTGAAATAACGATTTTTGGGGAAAAAACGCGGTTTTGGGGTGAAAAACCCGGTTTTGGGGTTAAAAACGCGATTTTTGGGGTGAAAAACTGGGTTTTGGGGTCAAAAAAGGCAGTTTTGGGGGGAAAGTCGGTTTTGGGGTTTAAAACGCAGTTTTGGGGTGAAAAAACGTTTTTTGGGGAAAAAATGCGGTTTTGGGGTGAAAAACCCAGTTTTGGGGTTAAAAAACGCAGTTTTTTTGGGGAAAAGTCGGGTTTGGGGTTAAAACCGCGATTTTTGGGGTGAAAAACCCGGTTTTGGGGTCAAAAAAGGCAGTTTTTTGGGGAAAAGTCGGTCTTGGGGTTAAAAAACACATTTTGGGGGTGAAAAAACGGTTTTTGGGGAAAAAACGTGGTTTTGGGGTGAAAAATGCGGTTTTGGGGTCAAAAAAGGCAGTTTGGGGGGGGAAAGTCGGGTTTGGGGTTGAAAAATGCATGTTTGGGGTGAAAAAACAGGGTTTTGGGGTCAAAAACGGCAGTTTTGGGGGGGAAAAGTCGGGTTTGGGGTTAAAAAATGCATTTTGGGGGTGAAAAAGTTTTTTTTTGGAAGAAACGCGGTTTTGGGGTGAAAAACCCGGTTTTGGGGTCAAAAACCCCGATTTTGGGGACAGAAAGTCGGTTTTGGGGTTAAGAAATGCAGTTTTGGGGTGAAAAACCCGGTTTTGGGTCAAAAAAGGCAGGTTTTTTGGGGAAAAGTCGGTTTTGGGGTTAAAAACGCATTTTTGGGGTGAAAAACCCGGTTTTGGGGTCAAAAAACGCGATTTTGGGGACAGAAAGTCGGTTTTGGGGTTAAGAAATGCAGTTTTGGGGTGAAAAACGGTTTTGGGGTCAAAAAAGGCAGTTTTTTGGGGAAAAGTCGGTTTTGGGGTTAAAAACGCATTTTTGGGGTGAAAAAACGGTTTTTGGGGAAAAAACCGTGGGTTTGGGGTAAAAAAAGGGGTTTTGGGGTTAAAAACCGCAGTTTTGGGGTGAAAAACCGGGTTTTGGGGTCAAAAAAGGCAGTTTTGGGGGGGGAAAGTCGGTTTTGCGGTTAAGAAATGCAGTTTTGGGGTGAAAAACCTAGTTTTGGGGTCAAAAAAGGCAGGTTTTTGGGGGAAAAGTCGGGTTTGGGGTTAAAAACGCGATTTTTGGGGTGAAAAACCCGGTTTTGGGGTTAAAAACGCGATTTTTGGGGTGAAAACCCCGGTTTTGGGGTCAAAAAAGGCAATTTTGGGGGGGAAAAGTCGGGTTTGGGGTTAAGAGTCAGTTTTGGGGTCGGAAAAACGGTTTTGGGGTCAACCCCCTCATTTTTGGGGTGAAAAACCCCGTTTTGGGGTCAAAAAAGGCAGGTTTTTTTGGAAAAGTTGGTTTTGGGGTTAAAAAACGCAGTTTTGGGGTGAAAAACCCGGTTTTGGGGTCAAACCCCTCATTTTTGGGGTGAAAAACCCGGTTTTGGGGTCAAACCCCTCATTTTTGGGGTGAAAAACCCGGTTTTGGGGTCTAAGCCCATCATTTTGGGGGTCGGAAAAGTCGGTTTTGGGGTTAAAAAATGCATTTTGGGGTCAACCCCCCCATTTTTGGGTCTAAAACCACGATTTTGGGGTAAAAAACCCCATCTTTGGGGTCGAGAAACCCATTTTTTAGGTCGAGAAACCCATTTTTGGGGTCGAAAACCCCGATTTTGGGGTCAAAAACCCCATTTTGGGGGTCAAACACCCCCCATTTGGCTGTCAAACCCCCCATTTTTGGGTCTAAAACCACGATTTTTGGGTCAAAACCCCCTTTTTTGGGGTCGAGAAACCCGATTTGGGGTTCGAGAAACCCGATTTTGGGGTCAAAAAAAACATTTTGGGGGTCGGAAAAAACGATTTTGGGGTTAAAAAGCCCGATTTTGGGGGTCGAAACCCACGATTTTGGGGTCAAAAACCCCATTTTTGTGGTCGAGAAACCCGATTTTGGGGTCAAAACCCCCATTTTTGGGGTCGAGAAACCCGATTTTTGGCGTCAAAAACCCCTATTTTGGGGTCAAACCCCCCGATTTTGGGGCTCAAACACCCCCATTTTGGGGCTCAAACACCCCCCCCTTTTGGGCGTCAACCCCCCCGTTTTTGGGTCTATAACCCGATTTTGGGGTCAAAAAGCCCGATTTTGGGGGCGAAACCCATTTTTGGGGTCGAAAACCCCATTTTGGGGGTCAAAACCCCCGATTTTGGAGCTGAACCCCCCATTTTGGGGTATAAAACCACGATTTTTGGGTCAAAACCCCCATTTTTGGGGTCGAGAAACCCGATTTTGGGGTCAAAAACCCCGATTTTGGGGTCAAAACCCCCGATTTTGGGGCTCAAACACCCCCATTTTTGGGCTCAAACACCCCCCCTTTTGGCTGTCAAACCCCCTATTTTTGGGTCGAAACCCCCGATTTTGGGGTCAAAAAACCCATTTTTGGGGTCGAAAAACCCATTTTTGGGGTCAAAACCCCCATTTTTGGGGTCGAAAATCCCGATTTTGGGATCGAAAACCCCATTTTTGGGTCGAGAAACCCATTTTTGGGGTCGAGAAACCCGATTTTGGGTTCAAAACCCCCATTTTTGGGGTCGAGAAACCCGATTTTGGCGTCAAAAACCCCTATTTTGGGGTCAAAACCCCCGATTTTGGGGCTCAAACACCCCCATTTTGGGGCTCAAACACCCCCCCTTTTGGCTGTCAAACCCCCTATTTTTGGGTCGAAAACCCCGATTTTGGGGTCAAAAAACCCATTTTTGGGGTCGAAAAACCCATTTTTGGGGTCAAAAAACCCATTTTGGGGGTCGAAAAACCCCGATTTTGGGGTCAAAACCCCCGATTTTGGGGCTGAACCCCCCCATTTTTGGGCTCAAACACCACCCCATTTGGGTGTTAAACGCCCCATTTTTGGGTCTAAAACCACGATTTTGGGGTCAAAAAGCCCATTTTTGGGGTCGAGAAACCCGATTTTGGGGTCGAGAAACCCGATTTTGGGGTTAAAAAGCCCGATTTTGGGGTCAAACCCCCCTTTTTTGCCCTCAGAACCCCCCCGCGCCCGCTGGCTGGAGGTGGACGGGGCCGAGGAGGCGCTGGAGCTGCACGATGGGGACGAGGAGGTGGGCGCTGATTGGCTGAGGGGGGGCGGTATGCAAATGAGGGCGGGGGCGGAGCACGGGGTAATGGGGGGGGGAAGGGGAGGGGGCCAATGGGAGCGCGGCATGCAAATGAGGGCGGTGGGGTGGGGGGGTGTATGGAAATGAAGGGGTGTATGCAAATGGAGGGGTGTATGCAAATGAAGAGGGGTGTATGCAAATGGAGGGGTGAATGCAAATGAAGAGGGGTGTATGCAAATGAAGGGGGTGTATGCAAATGGAGGGGTGAATGCAAATGAAGGGGGTGTATGCAAATGAAGAGGGGTGTATGCAAATGAAGGGTGTATGAAAATGGAGGGGTGTATGCAAATGAAGGGTGTATGAAAATGGAGGGGGTGTATGCAAATGAAGGGGTGAATGCAAATGAAGGGGGTGTATGCAAATGGAGGGGGTGTATGCAAATGAAGCTGTTTCCATGGAAATGAGGGGCTGCGTCTGCAAATGAAGCTGTTTCTATGCAAATGAAGCTGTTTCTATGCTAATGAATGGCTCTATAAAGAAATGATGGGCTGCGTATGCAGATGAATGGCGCTCTATGGAAATGATGGGCTGCATATGCAAATGAATGGCTGTATAAGGGAAAGAAGGGCTGCGTATGCAAATGAAGCTGTTTCTATGCAAATGATTGCTCTCTATGCAAATGAATGGCTCTCTACGGAAGTGATGGGCTGCATATGCAGATGAAGCTGTTTCTATGCAAATGAATGGTGCTCTATGGAAATGATGGGCTGCATATGCAAATGAAGCTGTTTCTATGCAAATGAATGGCGCTCTATGGAAATGATGGGCTGCATATGCAAATGAAGCTGTTTGTTTCTATGCAAATGAATGGCGCTCTATAGAAATAAGGGGCTGCATATGCAAATGAAGCTGTTTCTATGCAAATGAATGGCTCTCTATGCAAATGTATGGCTCTATGGAAATGATATGGCATATGCAAATGAGCGGCTCTATAGGGAAATAAAGGGCTGCGTATGCAAATGAAACTGTTTCTATGCAAATGAATGGCTCTATAAGGAAATGATCGGCTGCATATGCAAATGAAGCTGTCTATATGCAAATAAATGGCGCTCTATGGAAATGATGGCCTGCATATGCAAATGAATGGCTCTATAAGGAAATGATCGGCTGCATATTCAAATGAAGCTGTGTATATGCAAATGAATGGCTCTCTATGCAAATGAATGGCGCTCTATGGAAATAAAGGGCTGCATATGGAAATGAAGCTGTTTCCATGCAAATGAATGGCTCTATAGGGAAATGATGGTCTGCTTATGCAAATGAGCTGCTCTGTATGGAAATGATGGGCTGTGTATGCAAATGAGGCGCTCTATATAGAAGTGACGGGCTGCGTATGCAAATGAACGTTGCGCATAAGGAGAGGCGCTGTATGCAAATGAGCGGTTCTGTATGCAAATGAGACGCTCTATAGGCAAGCAATGGGCTATATATGCAAATGAGATGCTCTGTATGCTGTATATGCAAATGAACGGCTGTATATGCAAATCACTGGTTGGCTATGCAATCAATAGCCTCTATATGCAAACGGGTCGATATGCAAATGATGGGCGTGCCTATGCTAATGAGGGTGTGTCTATGGTAATGTGGGGTGTGTATGCTAATGAGGTGTGTGTGTATGCTAATGATGGGCGTGTCTATGCAAATGAGCAGGCTGCAGCCAATGCTGTTCTTGAGGTGTGCCTATGCTATTGAGGGGGCGTGTCTATGCTAAAGAAGGGGCGTGTCTATGCTAATGAGGGATGTGTAAGCCAATGAGGGGCATATCTATGCTAATGATGTGCGTGTCTGCTAATGAGGGGCGTGTCTATGTTAATGAGATGAGTGTGTCTATGCTAATTAGTGTGTCTATGCTAATCAGATGAGCGTGTCTATGCTAATGAGATGAGTGTGTCTATGTTAATGAGAGAGCATGTCTATGCCAATGGGGGCGTGATTATGCTAATGAGGGGCTTGTCTATGCTAGTGAGGGGGCATGTCTATGCCGATGGGGTGTGTCTATGCTAATGAGATCAGTGTGTTTGTGTTAATGAGGTGGGCGTGTCTATGCTAATGAGGTGTGCGTGTCTATGCTAATGAGAGGCGCATCTATGGCAACAAGACGGGTGTGTCTATGCCATTGAGGGGGGCGTGTCTATGCTAATGAGGAATCGTGTCTGTGCTGATGAGAGCGCATGTCTATGCTAATGAGGTGGGTGTGTCTACGCTAATGAGGGGGCGTGTCTATGGTAATGATGGTGTGTCTATGCTAATGAGGTGTGCGTGTCTATGCCGATGGAGGCGTGTCTATGCCAATGAGGTGGGTGTGTCTATGCTAATGAGGGGCGTGTCTGTGAGCCCGTGTATATGCTAATGAGGTGGGCGTGTCTATGCTAATAAGAGGCGCATCTATGGCAACGAGACGGGCGTGTCTATGCTATTGAGGGGGCGTGTCTATGGTAATGAGGGCGTGCCCATGCTAATGAGGTGGGTGTGTTTATGCTAATGAGATGAGCGTGTCTACGTTAACGAGGTAGGCGTGTCTTTGCTAATGAGTGTGTCTATGTTAATGAGGTGGGCGTGTCTTTGCTAATGACGGTGTGTCAATGCTAACGATGGACGTGTCCATGCTAAAGATGGGCGTGTCTATGCTAATGAGGTGGGCGTGTCTATGCTAATGAGGTGGGCGTGTCTATGCAAATAAGGTGTGTGTGGCCATGCTAATGAGGTGGGCGTGTCTATGCGAATGAGAGGCGCATCTATGGCAACAAGGCGGGTGTGTCTATGCTATTGAGGGGGCGTGTCTATTCCAATGGGGGCGTGTCTATGGCAATGAGGGGTGGCTATGCTAATGAGGTGTGTGTATGCTAATGAGGTGGGCGTGTCTATGCTAATGATCAGGCCGCAGCCAATGCGGACGCGCTGCTCCTGGTGTTCTCGCTGATGAGGTGCGTGTGTCTATGCCAATGGGGGCGTGTCTATGCTAATGAGCGTATGCTAATGAGGTGGGCGTGTCTATGCAAACGAGATGAGCGTGTCTATGTTGATGAGGGCGTGTCTATGCTAATGAGGAATCGTGTCTATGCTAATGAGGAGACCTGTCTGTGCTATGAGAGAGCATGTCTACGCTAACGAGGTGGGTGCGTCTACGGTAATGGTGTCTATGGTAATGATGGTGTGTCTATGCTAATGAGGTGGGCGTGTCTATGCGAATGATGGACGTATCTATGCAAATGAGGTGGGCGTGCCTATGCTAATAAGATGTGCGTGGCGATGCTAACGAGGTGGGTGTGTCTCTGCTAATGGCGGGCGTGTGTCTATGCTATGAGGGTGTGTGTCTGTGCTATGAGGTGCATATGCTAATGGTGGGCATGTGTCTATGCTAATGAGGAGGTCTATCTATAGCAAGGGGTGTATATGCTAATGAGGGCGTCAATGGGGCGTGTCTATGCTAATGAGGGATGCGTATGCTAATGAGGTGGGCGTGTCTATGCTAATGATCAGGCCGCAGCCAATGCGGACGCGCTGCTCCTGGTGTTCTTGAGGTGTGCGTGTCTATTCCAATGGGGGGCGTGTCTATGTCAATGGGGGCGTGTCTATTCCAATGGAGGCGTGTCTATGCCAATGAGGGATGTGTAAGCTAATGAGAGGCGTGTCTATGCTAATGATATGCGTGTCTGCTCACGAGGGGAGTGTCTATGCTAATGAGATGAGTGTGTCTATGTTAATGAGAGAGCATGTCTATGCCAATGGAGGTGTGTCTATGGTAATGAGGGGTGTGTCTATGCTAATGAGATGAGTGTGTCTGTGTTAATGAGGTGGGCGTGTCTATGCTAATGAGGTGTGTGCGTGTCTATGCTAATGAGGTGGGCGTGTCTATGCAAATGCTCAGGCCGCAGCCAATGCGGACGCTAATGAGATGAGTGTGTCTATGTTAATGAGGTGGGTGTGTCTATGCTAATGAGGGGACATGTCTATGCAAACGAGGGGAGCGGGTCTACGAGTGTGCATCTATGGTTGTGTCTACGCTAACGAGGTGGGTGTGTCTATGCTAATGAGGGGCGTGTCTGTGAGGCCGTGTATATGCTAATGAGGTGGGCGTGTTTATGGTGACGAGGGGTGTGTCTATGGCAACGAGACGGGCATGTCTATGCTATTGAGGGGGTATGTCTATGCCAATGGGGGCGTGTCTATGCTAATGAGTGCATGCCAATGAGGTGGGTGAGTCTATGCTAATGAGGTGGGCGTGTCTATGCAAATGATCAGGCCGCAGCCAATGCGGACGCGCTGCTCCTGGTGTTCTTGAGGTGTGAGCGTCTATGACGAGCGTGTCTATGTCAATGGGGGCGTGTCTACGCTATTGAGGGATGCGTATGCCAATGAGGGATGTGTAAGCTAATGAGAGGCGTGTCTATGCTAATGATATGCGTGTCTGCTCACGAGGGGAGTGTCTATGCTAATGAGATGAGTGTGCCTATGCTAATGAGATGAGTGTGTCTATGTTAATGAGAGAGCATGTCTATGCCAATGGGGGTGTGATTATGCTAATGAGGGGTGTGTATGCTAATGAGATGAGTGTGTCTGTGTTAATGAGATGGGCGTGTCTATGCTAATGTGGTGTGCGTGTCAATACTTATAAGGGCGTGTCTATGCTAATGAGTGTGACTATGCTAATGTGGGCGTGTCTATGCTAATGAGGAATCGTGTCTATGCTAATGACATAGCATAGTGTCTGTGCTGATGAGAGAGCATGTCTACGCTAATGAGGTGGGTGCGTCTATGCAAATGGAGGCGTGTCTATGCAAATGGAGCGTGTCTATGCTAATGAGGGATGCGTATGCTAATGAGGTGGGCGTGTCTATGCTAATGATCAGGCCGCAGCCAATGCGGACGCGCTGCTCCTGGTGTTCTTGAGGTGTGCGTGTCTATTCCAATGGGGGGCGTGTCTATGTCAATGGGGGCGTGTCTATGCTAATGAGGGGTGGCTATGCTAATGAGGTGTGTCTATGCTAATGAGGTGGGCGTGTCTATGCTAATGAGAGGTGCATCTATGGCAACGAGGCGGGAGTGTCTATGCTATTGAGGGGGCGTGTCTATTCCAATGGGGGCGTGTCTATGCTAATGAGGGGTGGCTATGCTAATGAGGTGTGTCTATGCTAATGAGGTGGGCGTGTCTATGCTAATGATCAGGCCGCAGCCAATGCGGACGCGCTGCTCCTGGTGTTCTTGAGGTGTGCGTGCCTATGGGGGCATGCGTATGCTAATGAGGGATGCGTATGCTAATGAGGTGGGCGTGTCTATGCTAATGATCAGGCCGCAGCCAATGCGGACGCGCTGCTCCTGGTGTTCTCGCTGAGCGACCGCGGCTCCTTCGCTGCCCTGGGCCCCGCCGCGAGGGGGCTCCGGGGGGGGGCGGGGCCACGCTCGGCCCCGCCCCTCCTGCTCGTGGCCAATAAGAGCGACCTGGCCCGGGCGCGGCACGTGACGGCGAGAGGTGAGCGCGACCCATAGGGACCCCATAGAGACCCCATAGAGACCCATAGGGACCCATAGAGAACCATAGGGACCCATAGGGACCCATAGAGACCCATAGAGACCCATAGAGACCCATAGGGACCCATAGAGACCCCATAGAGACACATAGAGACCCCATAGAGACCCATAGGGACCCATAGAGACCCATAGAGACCCCATAGAGACCCATAGGGACCCATAGAGACCCCATAGAGACACATAGAGACCCATAGAGACCCATAGAGACCCAGAGAGTCCCATAGAGACCCATAGAGACCCATAGAGACCCATAGAGACCCCATAGAGCCCAATAGACCTCCATTCACCCCTATTGTCCCCCGCGCCCCATAGACCCCCATGAACCCCATTGCCCCCCATTCACCCCACAGACCCCCATAGACACCCCATAGACCCCATAGAACCCCACAGACCCCCATTGACCCCATAGAGCCCCATAGACCTCCATTCACCCCTATTGTCCCCCCATAGACCCCCATAGAGCCCCATAGACCCCATAGAACCCCATAGTCCCCCATTCACCCCCATTGTCCCCCATAGACCCCCTTAGAACCCCACAGCCCCCTATATCACCCCATAGCCCCCATTGCCCCCCACTGACTCCATTCAGCCCCATAGAACCCCATAGACACCCATTGCCCCCCATAGAGACCCCATAGACCCCCATAGACCCCATAGACCCCCATAGACCCCCATAGAACCCCATAGACCCCCATAGAGCCCCATAGCCCCCCATAGACCCCCATAGAACCCCATAGACCCCATAGAGCCCCACAGACCCCCATTCACCCCCATAGCCCCCCATAGCCCCCCATTACCCCCCATAGCCCCGCCCCCCCCCCGCACTGACCCCGCCCCCCCCCCCCCCCAGAGGTGCGCAGCCTCGCTGCCGTCCTGCGCTGCGGTCACGTGGAGACCTCGGCCGAGCTGCGCATGGGCACTGAGGAGCTCTTCGCCGCCGCCGTGCGTGAGGGGCGGGGCCACCGGCGACGTCGCCGTGATGACGTCGACGCCGACGCCGATGACGTCGCCGCCGACGGTTGCCACGGCGACAGCGGCGCTTTACGGCGCCGCCGCAGCCTCACCGGCAGAGCCAAGCGCTTCCTGGCGGGGCTCGTGCCCCTGTCGCGACAGAGGTCGCGATCGTGCAGCGACCTGGCGGGGCTGTGAAAGGGTTGGGGTGGGGGGGGGGGTGGGGGGGGGGGGTGGTGTTGCCCCTTTAAGAGTTGGGCGCTATTAAAGGTTGGGAACCTTAAGAGTGGTGTTGCCCCTTTAAGAGTGGTGGTGGGCCCCGTTAGGTTGGCTTTGCCCCTTTAAGAGTTGGGCGCTATTAAAGCTTGGGAACCTTAAGAGTGGCGTTGCCCCTTTAAGAGTGGCGTTGCCCCTTTAAGAGCGGTAGTGGGCCCCATAGAGTTGGGATTATTGCCCCTTAAGAGCTGAGTGGTCCTTTAAGGTTGGCATTGCCCCATTAAGAGTGGTGGTGTTGCCCCTTTAAGAGTTGGGAGCTATTAAAGCTTGGGAACCTGGTGGTGGGCCCCGTTAGGTTGGCGTTGCCCCTTTAAGAGTGGTGGTGGGCCCCGTTAGGTTGGCATTGCCCCTTTAAGAGTGGTGTTGCCCCTTTAAGAGTTGGGCGCTATTAAAGCTTGGGAACCTTAAGGTGGTATTGCCCCTTTAAGAGTGGCGTTGCCCCTTTAAGAGTGGTGGTGGGCCCCGTTAGTTTGGGATTGCCCCTTTAAGAGAAGCATTGCCCCATTAAGAGTGGTGGTGTTGCCCCTTTAAGAGTTGGGCGCTATTAAAGCTTGGGAACCTTAAGGTGGTGTTGCCCCTTTAAGAGTGGCGCCCCTATAAGAGCGGTAGTGGGGCCCTTAAGGCTGGCACTGCTCCTTTAAGAGTGGCATTGCCCCTTTAAGACTGGCGTTGCCCCTTTAAGAGCGGTAGTGGGCCCCATTAAGGTTGGCATTGCCCCTTTAAGAGTGGTGGTGGGCCCCATGAGGTTGACATTTCCCCTTAAGAGGGCATTGGGCGCTATTAAAGCTCGGGAACCTTAAGAGTGGCATTGCCCCTTTAAGAGTGGTATTGCCCCTTTAAGAGACTCATTGGGGGTAATGGGACCCTAAAGGTGGCATTGCTCCTTTAAGAGTGGTATTGCCCCCTTAAGAGACTAATTGAACACTATGGGGGTACTGGTCCCCTTTAAGGTGGCATTGCCCCTTTAAGAGACTCATTGGTTGCTATTAAAGGGGGTACTGGGCCCCTTTAAGGTGGCATTGCCCCCTTTAAGAGTGCTATTGGCCCCTTTAAGAGACTCTCTGGACGCTATATAACGGGGTACTGGTCCCCTTTAGGGTGGCATTGCCCCTTTAAGAGCGCTATTGGCCCCTCTAAGAGACTCATTGGACATTATTAAAGGGGGTATGGGCACCCTAAAGGGGGTATTGCCCCTTCAAAAGTGCTATTGGCACCTTTAAAGTGGCATTGCCCCTTTAAGAGCACTATTGGCCCGTCTAAGAGACTCATTGGACGTTATAAAAGGGAGTATCGGGACCCTAAAGGGGGTATTGCCCTTTTAAGAGTGATACTGCCCCTTTAAGAGACTCATTGGCCGCTATTAAAAGGAGTATGGTCCCCCTTAAGGTGACATTGCCCTTTTAAGAGCGCTATTGGCCCCTCAGACTCATTGGCCGCTATTAAAGGGGGTACTGGTCCCCTTTAAGGTGGCATTGCCCTTTTAAGAGCGCTATTGGCCCCTTTAAGAGACTCATTGGCCGCTATTAAAGGGGGTATTGGGCCCCTTTAGGGTGGCATTGCTCCTTTAAGAGTGGTATTGGCCCTTTAAGAGACTAATTGAACACTATGTGGGCACTGGTCCCCTTTAGGGTGGCATTGCCCCTTTAAGAGACTGCCCCTTTAAGAGACGCTATGTAAAGGGAGTATGGTCCCCCTTAAGGTGACATTGCCCTTTTAAGAGCGCTATTGGCCCCTCAGACTCATTGGCCGCTATTAAAGGGGGTATTGGTCCCCTTTAAGGTGGCATTGCCCCTTTAAGAGCGCTCTTGGCCCCTTTAAGAGCGGCGTTGCCCCTTTAAGAGCATCCTTGGCCCCTTTAAACCCCCCCTTGGCTCTTACCAAGCCCTCTGCTGATTGGCTCTGGCTCTGGCCCCGCCCCCTCCCCCTCCCCAATTTGAATTTTAAATTATTTTTTTTTTTTGGTGTTTTTTTATTTCCAGAAACTGGAAAAAAAAAAAAAAAAAAAGGAAAAAACCCCAAAATCCCGAAGTTTCCACGGGGGGGGGGGGGGGGGCAGGGGGGGAGGGGCCAGAGTGGGCCCCGCCCCCCCTCCCCTTGGCCCCGCCCCCCCCTTCTGCGAAGGGGGGGGCGGGGCCAAGGGGAGGCGGGGCGGGGAAGGAGGTGGGGAGGGGGCGGGGCCGCGTTACCTGTGGGGGGGGAGGGGAGGGGGGGTGTGATGCTGAGCCCCCTTTCTGCCCCATAGATTCCCCCCTTCTGCCCCATAGAAACCTCCCTTTCTGCCCCATAGATCCCTTCTGCCCCCATAGAAGCCCCCCTTTCTGCCCCATAGAACCCCCCCTTTCTGCCCCACAGATCCCCCCCCTTTCTGCCCCACAGATCCCCCCCCTTTCTGCCCCACAGATCCCCCCCCATTCTGCCCCACAGATCCCCCCTTTCTGCCCCCCAAATTCCCCCCTTTCTGCCCCAGATACCCCCCCATCACATAGATTTCCCCCCATTTCTGCCCCATAGAATCCACCCCTTTCTGCCCCATAGAATCCCCCCATTCTGCCCCACAGATCCCCCCTTTCTGCCTCATAGATTCCCCCCTTTCCCACATATTTCCCCCCCATTCTGCCCCACAGATCCCCCCCTTCTGCCCCATAGAATCCCATTTCTGCCCCATAGAATCCCCCATTTCTGCCCCATTCTCCCCCTCTTCTGCCCCATAGATCCCCCCCATCACATAGATTCCCCCCATTTCTGCCCCACAGATTCCCCCCCCTTCTGCCCCACAGATCCCCCCCCTTTCTGCCCCACAGATCCCCCCCATTCTGCCCCACAGATCCCCCCCATTTCTGCCCCATAGATTCCCCCCTTTCCCACATATTCCCCCCCTTTGTGCCCCACAGATCCCTCCCCATTCTGCCCCATAGATCCCCCCCCTTCTGCCCCATAGATACCCCCCCATCACATAGATTCCCCATTTCTGCCCCATAGATTTCCCCCCTTTCTGCCCCATAGATTCCCCCCTTTCCCACATATTTCCCCCCCCTTTCTGCCCCATAGATCCCCCCCCCATTCTGCCCCACAGATTCTGCCCCACAGATCCCCCCATTCTGCCCCATAGATCCCCCCCTTTCTGCCCCATAGATTCCCCCTTTCTGCCCCACAGATCCCCCCCCTTCTGCCCCATAGATTCCCCCCTTTCTGACCCATAGATCCCCCCCATCACATAGATTCCCCCCCATTTCTGCCCCATAGAATCCCCCCCATCACAGATTCCCCCCTTTTCTGCCCCATAGATACCCCCCCATTACATAGATTCCCCCCTTCTGCCCCATAGAATCCCCCCTTTCTGCCCCATAGAATCCCCCTTCTGCCCTATAGATACCCCCCATCACATAGATTCCCCCCCATTTCTGCCCCATAGATTCCCCATTTCTGCCCCATAGAATCCCCCCATTCTGCCCCACAGATCCCCCCATTCTGCCCCATAGATTCCCCCCTTTCTGCCCCATAGATACCCCCCCATCACATAGATCTCCCCCATTTCTGCCCATAGAATCCCCCCATTCTGCCCCACAGATCCCCCCCCTTTCTGCCCCATAGATCCCCCCCCTTCTGCCCCACAGATCCCATTTCTGCCCCATAGATCCCCCCCCTTTCTGCCCCACAGATCCCCCCCCTTCTGCCCCACAGATCCCCCCCTTCTGCCCCACAGATCCCCCCCATCACATAGATTCCCCCCCATAGAATCCACCCTTTCTGCCCCACAGATCCCCCCCATTCTGCCCCATAGATTCCCCCCTTTCTCCCCCACAGATCCCCCCCTTTCTGCCCCATAGAATCCCCCATTTCTGCCCCATAGATTCCCCCCTTTTCTGCCCCATAGAATCCCCCTTCTGCCCCATAGATACCCCCCATCACATAGATTTCCCCCCATTTCTGCCCCATAGAATCCCCCCCATCACAGATTCCCCCCCTTTCTGCCCCACAGATCCCCCCCATTCTGCCCCATAGATCCCGCCCCTCACATGGTCTGTGGGGAGAAGAGCCCCGAGAGCGTGAGGCACTGGGACGCCAGCGTCTGCGAGGCCAGGTTCAGCGCCGGGCTCAGGGCTATGGGGCACATAGAGGAGGGGGGGGGAGATGTGGGGCTGCCCCATAGATGGAGCCATTGGGAGCCCCACAAGTCCCAGCCCTATAGGGACAAAGCACAGGCAACCAAAGCGCCCCATAGAGGCCCCATGGAGCCCCATAGAGATGGCACAGAGAAACACAGAGACATCACATAAAGCCCCATAGACACCCCATAGAGCCCCATAGACACCGCACAGAGCCCCATAGACCCCCATAGACCCCTATAGACACCCCATAAGACCCCACAGACCCCTATAGAGACCCCATAGACACCCATAGCCACCCCATAGACCCCCCATAACCATCCCATAGCCCCCCATTGACACTCCATAGCCACCCCATAGATCCCCCAAACTCACCCCATAGCCCCCCACAGCCACCCCATAACCACCCCATAGCCACCCCATAGCGCCCCATAGCCCCCCATAGCCACCCCATAGCCCCCCATAGCCCCCCATAGCCACCCCATAGCTGCCCCATAGCCGCCCCATAGCCCCCCATAGCACCCCATAGCCCCCCATAGCCGCCCCATAGCGCCCCCCATAGCCCGCCCCATAGACCCCCCATAACCACCCCATACCCACCCCATAGCCGCCCCACAGCGCCCCATAGCCACCCCATAACCACCCCATAACCACCCCATAGCCCCCCCATAGCGCCCCATAGCCCCCTTACCAGTGAGCGCCGCGGGGTTGAGCGCCCCCAAGGGCAGGGCCCCATTGAGCTGCAGAGCGGCCTGGGCCGTGCTGGGCAGCTGCAGCCCGGAGCCTGGGGGGGGGGGGAACAGAGACGCTATGGGGCAGGAGCCCCATAACCAACCCACACCTGCCCCATAGATCCCTGTGCCCCATAACCAACCCCCCTCCCCGCCCCATAGATCCCTGTGTCCCATAACCAAACCCCCCCACCCCATAGATCCCTGTGCTCCATAGCCTCATAACAACCGCCCTCTGCCCCATAGATCCCTGTGCCCCATAACCAACAACCTCCCCTGCCCCATAGATCCCTGTGCCCCATAGCCCCATAACAACCGCCCTCTGCCCCATAGATCCCTGTGCTCCATAACCACACCCCTGCCCCATAGATCCCGATGCTCCATAGCCAACCCCCCTGCCCCATAGATCCCTGTGCCCCATAACCAACAACCTCCCCTGCCCCATAGATCCCTGTGCCCCATAACCATAGATCCCTGTGCCCCATAACCAACCCCCCCCCGCCCCATAGATCCCTGTGCCCCATAGCCTCATAATGACCGCCCTCTGCCCCATAGATCCCTGTGCCCCATAACCACACCCCCTGCCCCATAGATCCCTGTGCCCCATAGCCCCATAATGACCGCCCTCTGCCCCATAGATCCCTGTGCCCCATAACCAACAACCTCCCCTGCCCCATAGATCCATGTGCCCCATAGCCCCATAACCAACAACCTCCCCTGCCCCATAGATCCCGGTGCTCCATAGCCAACCCCCCTGCCCCATAGATCCCTGTGCCCCAGAACCACACTCCCAGCCCCATAGATCCCTGTGCCCCATAGCCCCATAACCAACAACCTCCCCTGCCCCATAGATCCCTGTGCCCCATAGCCCCATAACCAACCCCCCTGCCCCATAGATCCCTGTGCCCCATAGCCCCATAACCACCCCTTCCTGCCCCATAGCCCCCTCTGCCCCATAGTCCCATCACCACCCCTTCCTGCCCCACAGCCCCATCACCACCCCACTCTGCCCCACAGCCCCCTTCCTACCCCATAGTCCCATAACCACCCCAATCAATCCCATAACCCCCCTCTGCCCCATAGCCCCATCACCACCCCACTCTGCCCCACAACCCCATAACCACCCCTTCCTGCCCCATAGCCCCCCCCCGCCACATCAACCACCCCCTCCCTGCCCCACAGCCCCATAACCACCCCTTCCTGCCCCACAACCCCCCCTCCCTGCCCCACACCCCCCCCCATTTCCTGCCCCCCAAGTGCCTCACCCTCGGCCAGCTTTGCCATGAGCTGAAGCCTCCCGCTGGGGCCCAGCAGCTCGGGTTCGTCGGGGCCCTCGGGGGGCAGAGGCAGGGGCAGGGGCAGGCCGAGCTCGGGGCCCTCGTGGACCTGCCCCACACGCATGGGGCGCCCGGCCAGCTCGAAGCCGTTGAGCTGCTCTAGGGCCCGGCGCGCGCATTCCGCCTCCGAGAACTGCAGTGGGGCAAGGGGGGGTCAATGGGGATCAATGGGGGGCGATGGGGGTCAATGGGGGTCAATGGGAGTCAATGGGGATCAATGGGGGTCAATCGAGTGAATAGGAATGAATGGGGGCCAATGGGAGTCAATGGGGGGCAATGGGGGTCAATGGGAGTCAATGGGGGTCAATGGGGGTCAATGGGGGTCAATGGGGGTCAATGGGTGTCAATGGGTCAATGGGAGTCAATGGGGGTCAATGGGATGGGGATCAATGGGGGTCAATGGGGGGAATCAAAGGGGTCAATGGGAGTCAATGGGGTCAATGGGGGTCAATGGGGGTCAATGGGGGTCAATGGGGGTCAATGGGATCAATGGGGGTCAATGGGAGTCAATGGGGGTCAATGGGGGTCAATGGGAGTCAATGGGAGTCAATGGGGGTCAATGGGAGTCAATGGGGGTCAATGGGCGTCAATGGGGGTCAATGGGAGTCAATGGGGGTCAATGGGATCAATGGGAGTCAATGGGAGTCAATGGGGGTCAATGGGAGTCAATGGGAGTCAATGGGGGTCAATGGGGGTCAATGGGAGTCAATGGGGGGGGTCAATGGGGGTCAATGGGGCTCAATGGGAGTCAATGGGGGTCAATGGGGGTCAATGGGAGTCAATGGGAGTCAATGGGGGTCAATGGGAGTCAATGGGGGTCAATGGGAGTCAATGGGGGTCAATGGGAGTCAATGGGAGTCAATGGGGGTCAATGGGGGTCAATGGGGGTCAATGGGAGTCAATGGGGGTCAATGGGGTCAATGGGAGTCAATGGGAGTCAATGGGGGTCAATGGGAGTCAATGGGGGTCAATGGCCATCAATGGGGCTCTATGGGGATCAATGGGTCTCTATGGGTCTCCATGGGTCTCTATGGGGCGCAATGGGTCTCTATGGGTCTCTATGGGGCGCAATGGGTCTCTATGGGTCTCTATGGGTCTCCATGGGTCTCTATGGGGCGCAATGGGTCTCTATGGGTCTCTATGGGGCGCAATGGGTCTCTATGGGTCTCTATGGTTCTCCGTGGGTCTCTATGGGTCTCTATGGGTCTCTATGGGGCGCAGTGGGGCTCTCACCGTGATGAAGCCGTAGCCCTTGGACTGCCCGGTGTCTGGGTCCCGCATGAGGACGATGCTCTCGATCTGTGGGGCAGGGACCCCCAATGGGCTCCAGCCCCAGCCCCATAGCCCATCCCTAGGGATGCCCCCCTATGGGGCCCCCCTATGGATCCTGCTATGGGTCCCGCTATGGGTCCCGCTATGGGTCGCGCTATGGGTCCCACTATGGGTCCCGCTATGGGTCTCTCTATGGGTCCCGCTATGGGTCCTGCTATGGGTCTCTCTATGGGTCCCGCTATGGGTCGCGCTATGGGTCGCGCTATGGGTCCCGCTATGGATCCCTGCTATGGGTCTCTCTATGGGTCTCTCTATGGATCCTCGCTATGGGTCGCGCTATGGGTCCCGCTATGGGTCCCGCTATGGGTCTCTCTATGGGTCCCGCTCTGTGTCCCGCTATGTGTCTCTCTATGGGTCGCGCTATGGGTCTCTCTATGGGTCCCGCTATGGGTCCCGCTATGGGTCTCTCTATGTGCCCCGCTATGGGTCCCGCTATGTGTCCCGCTATGGGTCGCGCTATGGGTCCCGCTATGGGTCCCGCTATGGGTCTCGCTATGGGTCCCTCTATGGATCCCCGCTATGGGTCCCGCTATGGGTCCCTCTATGGATCCCCGCTATGGGTCCCGCTATGGGTCGCGCTATGGGTCGCGCTATGGGTCCCGCTATGTGTCCCGCTATGTGTCCCGCTATGGGTCCCGCTATGGGTCGCGCTATGGGTCCCGCTATGGGTCGCGCTATGGGTCCCGCTATGGGTCCCGCTATGGGTCCCGCTATGGGTCCCGCTATGGGTCCCGCTATGGGTCCCGCTATGGGTCCCGCTATGGGTCCCGCTATGGGTCTCTCTATGGGTCCCGCTATGGGTCCCGCTATGGGTCCCGCTATGGGTCCCGCTATGGGTCGCGCTATGGGTCGTGCTGTGTGTCCCGCTACGGGTCCCGCTATGGGTCGCGCTATGGGTCTCTCTATGGGTCCCGCTATGGGTCCCGCTATGGGTCTCTCTATGGGTCCCGCTATGGGTCCCGCTATGGGTCCCGCTATGGGTCTCTCTATGGGTCCCGCTATGGGTCCCGCTATGGGTCTCTCTATGGGTCCCGCTATGGGTCCCGCTATGTGTCCCGCTATGGGTCGCGCTATGGGTCCCGCTATGGGTCCCGCTATGGGTCCCGCTATGGGTCCCGCTATGGGTCCCGCTCTGTGTCCCGCTACGGGTCCCGCTATGGGTCCCGCTATGGGTCCCGCTATGGGTCCCGCTATGGGTCGCGCTATGGGTCCCGCTCTGGGTCCCGCTCTGGGTCCCGCTATGGATCCCTGCTATGGGTCGCGCTATGGGTCCCGCTATGGGTCTCGCTATGGCTCGCGCTATGGGTCCCGCTATGGGTCGCGCTATGGGTCCCGCTATGGGTCCCGCTATGGGTCTCTCTATGGGTCCCGCTATGGGTCGCGCTCTGTGTCCCGCTATGGGTCCCGCTATGGGTCCCGCTATGGGTCCCGCTCTGGGTCCCGCTATGGGTCGCGCTATGGGTCCCGCTATGGGTCCCGCTATGGGTCCCGCTCTGTGCCCCGCTATGGGTCCCGCTCTGTGTCTCTCTATGGGTCCCGCTATGGGTCCCGCTATGGGTCCCGCTATGGGTCCCGCTATGGGTCCCGCTATGGGTCGCTACCTTGCCGAAGGGCTCGAAGATGCCCCTCAGCATCTCCTTGGTGATGTTGCAGTGCAGGGAGCCCACGTAGAGGCGCATGGGGCCCGCTATGGGTCCCGCTATGGGTCCCGCTATGGGTCCCGCTCTGTGTCCCGCTATGGGTCCCTCTATGTGTCCCGCTATGGGTCCCGCTATGGGTCCCGCTATGGGTCCCGCTCTGTGTCCCGCTCTGTGTCCCTCTATGTGTCCCGCTATGGGTCCCGCTATGGGTCCCGCTATGGGTCCCGCTATGGGTCCCGCTATGGGTCTCTCTATGGGTCCCGCTATGGGTCCCGCTATGGGTCCCGCTATGTGTCCCGCTATGGGTCCCGCTATGGGTCCCGCTATGGGTCTCTCTATGGGTCCCGCTATGGGTCCCGCTATGGGTCGCGCTATGGGTCCCGCTATGGGTCCCGCTATGGGTCCCGCTATGGGTCCCGCTATGGGTCCCGCTATGGGTCCCTCTATGGGTCCCGCTATGGGTCTGTCAATGGCTCCCTCTATGGGTCCCTCAATGGGTCCCTCTATAGGTCCCTCTATGGGTCCCTCTATGGGTCCCGCTATGGGTCCCTCTATGGGTCTGTCTATGGGTCCCGCTATGGGTCCCGCTATGGGTCCCGCTATGTGTCCCGCTATGGGTCGCGCTATGGGTCCCGCTATGGGTCCCGCTATGGGTCTCGCTATGGGTCCCGCTATGGGTCCCGCTATGGGTCGCGCTATGGGTCCCGCTATGGGTCCCGCTATGGGTCCCGCTATGGGTCCCGCTCTGTGTCCCGCTATGGGTCCCTCTATGTGTCCCGCTATGGGTCCCGCTATGGGTCCCGCTATGGGTCCCGCTCTGTGTCCCGCTATGGGTCCCTCTATGTGTCCCGCTATGGGTCCCGCTATGGGTCCCGCTATGGGTCCCGCTATGGGTCCCGCTATGGGTCTCTCTATGGGTCCCGCTACGTGTCCCGCTATGGGTCGTGCTATGTGTCCCGCTATGGGCCTCTCTATGGGTCCCGCTATGGGTCGCGCTATGGGTCCCGCTATGGGTCCCGCTATGGGTCGCTACCTTGCCGAAGGGCTCGAAGATGCCCCTCAGCATCTCCTTGGTGATGTTGCAGTGCAGGGAGCCCACGTAGAGGCGCATGGGGCCCGCTATGGGTCCCGCTATGGGTCCCGCTATGGGTCTCTCTATGGGTCCCGCTATGGGTCCCGCTATGTGTCTCTCTATGGATCCCCGCTATGGGTCTCGCTATGGGTCCCGCTATGGGTCTCTCTATGTGTCCCGCTATGGGTCCCGCTATGGGTCCCGCTATGGGTCCCGCTATGGGTCGCGCTATGGGTCCCGCTATGGGTCCCGCTATGGGTCTCTCTATGGGTCCCGCTATGGGTCTCTCTATGGATCCCTGCTATGGGTCGCGCTATGGGTCCCGCTATGGGTCGCGCTATGGGTCCCGCTATGGGTCCCGCTATGGGTCCCGCTATGGGTCCCGCTATGGGTCCCGCTATGGGTCTCTCTATGGGTCCCGCTATGGGTCTCTCTATGGATCCCTGCTATGGGTCGCGCTATGGGTCCCGCTATGGGTCGCGCTATGGGTCCCATGGGCTATGGGTCCCGCTATGGGTCGCGCTATGGGTCCCGCTATGGGTCCCGCTATGGGTCTCTCTATGGGTCCCGCTATGGGTCTCTCTATGGATCCCTGCTATGGGTCTCTCTATGGGTCCCGCTATGGGTCGCGCTATGGGTCCCGCTATGGGTCCCGCTATGGGTCCCGCTATGGGTCCCGCTATGGGTCCCGCTCTGTGTCCCGCTATGGGTCCCGCTATGGGTCTCTCTATGGATCCCCGCTATGGGTCGCGCTATGGGTCGCGCTATGGGTCCCGCTATGGGTCGCGCTATGGGTCGCTACCTTGCCGAAGGGCTCGAAGATGCCCCTCAGCATCTCCTTGGTGATGTTGCAGTGCAGGGAGCCCACGTAGAGGCGCATGGGGCCCCCCGAGCCCTTCTGCAGGTTGTTGGCCATGGCCGCCAGACGGTTCTTCTCGGCCTATGGGGGGGGGAGATGTGGGGCAGGGACCCATAGGGACTCATAGAGACCCATAGAGACCCATAGAGACCCATAGAGACCCATAGGGATCCATAGGGATCCATAGGGACCCATAGGGATCCATAGAGACCCCATAGACACCACATAGACCCCATATCCCCCCCCGCAGCCACCCCATAGCCGCCCCATATCGCCCCATAGACCCCCATAGACCCCCATAAAGCCCCCATAAAGCCCCCATAGACCCCCATATCCCCCCCAATATCCCCCCCCACATCCCCCCATATCCGCCCCATATCCACCCCATATCCACCCCATATCCGCCCCATATCCGCCCCACATCCACCCCATATCCGCCCCATATCTGCCCCCCTACCCCCCCATAACCACCTCATAGACACCCCATATCCCCCCCCATATCTGCCCCCCTACCCCCACATAGACCCCCATAACCACCGCATAGACACCCCGTATCCTGCCCCACAGCGCCCCATATCCACCCCCATACCCCCCCATCCGCCCCATATCCCCCCCATAGCCACCCCATAGCCCCCCATAACCCCCCATAGCACCCCATAACCCCCCCATAGACCCCCATAACCACCCCATATCCGCCCCATAACCCCCCCATATCCGCCCCATATCCCGACCCACATCCCGCCCCATAGCGCCCCATATCCCCCCCAATATCCACCCCACATCCCGCCCCATAGCACCCCCCATATCCCCCCCATATCCCCCCATATCCCCCCCATATCCCCCCCACATCCCGCCCCACATCCCGCCCCATAGAACCCCCCATATCCCCCCCATAGCCACCCCATATCCCCCCCATAGACCCCCACCACCCCATATCCCCCCCATCCCCCACCCCATATCCCCCCCACCCCCCCCCCACCCCATATCCACCCCACATCCCGCCCCCACCCCCCATATCCCATAGCCCCCCCATATCCCCCCCAGCCACCCCATAGCTGCCCCATATCCACCCCATATCCCCCCCCATCCCTGCCCCATATCCCCCCCATCCCCCCCCATAGCTGCCCCATATCCACCCCATATCCCCCCCATCCCCCCCATAGCTGCCCCATATCCCCCCCATCCCCTCCCCATAGCTGTCCCATATCCCCCCCATATCCCCCCATACACCCCCATAACCACAGCAGACACCCCATATCCCCCCCATATCCACCCCCATACCCCCCCATAGACCCCCATAACCACCCCATATCCGCCCCACATCCCGCCCCATAGCGCCCCCCATAACCACCCCATATCCCTCCCATATCCGCCCCATATCCTGCCCCATACCCCCCCATATCCCCCCCCATACCCACCCCACATCCGGCCCCACACCCCGCCCCATAGCCCCCCCATAACCCCCCCATATCCACCCCACATCCCCCCCCACATCCACCCCTCTCCCCCCCATATCCCCCCCATATCCCCCCATATCCGCCCCATATCCCCCCCATATCCCCCCCCATAGCTGCCCCATATCCACCCCATAACCACCCCCCATACCCACCCCACACCCCGCCCCACACCCCGCCCCATAGCGCCCCACAGCGCCCCACCTGCGAGGCCTGCACGATGATTGGCACGCCGAGCAGGCGCTGCCCCGTGAGCCCGATGGCCAAGGGCACCGATTGGATGTCGCAGAACTCCACGTAGGCGATGCCCTTGGAGCGCCGCGAGTTGCGGTCCGAGATGATGCGCACGTCCCGCACCTGCCGTGGGGCAGACCCATGGAATGTGTGGGGCGGGAGCCATGGAATGTGTGGGGCAGACCCATAAAGTGTGGGGCGCAACCCATAGAATGTGTGGGGTGGGACCCATAAAGTGTGGGGTGGACCCATGGAATGTGTGGGGTGGACCCATAGGATGTGTGGGGTGGGACCCATAAAGTGTGGGGTGGGACCCATAGAGTGTGTGGGGTGGGACCCATAGAAAGTGTGGGGTGGACCCATAGAATGTGTGGGGCAGGACCCATAGAATGTGTGGGGAGGGACCCATAAAGTGTGGGGTGGGACCCATGGAATGTGTGGGGCGCGACCCATGGAATGTGTGGGGCAGACCCATAGAATGTGTGGGGTGGGACCCATAAAGCGTGGGGTGGGACCCATAGAAAGTGTGGGGCAACCCATAGAATGTGTGGGGTGGGACCCATAGAAAGTGTGGGGCGGGACCCATAGAAAGTGTGGGGCGGGAGCAACAGAAAGTGTGGGGCGAGACCCATAGAATGTGTGGGGTGGGACCCATAGAAAGTGTGGGGTGGACCCATGGAATGTGTGGGGCGGGACCCATGGAATGTGTGGGGTGGGACCCATAGAAAGTGTGGGGCAACCCATAGAATGTGTGGGGTGGGACCCATAGAATGTGTGGGGTGGACCCATAGAAAGTGTGGGGCAGGACCCATAGAAAGTGTGGGGCGGGACCCATAAAGTGTGGGGCAGACCCATAAAGTGTGGGGTGGGACCCATAGAATGTGTGGGGCGCGACCCATAGATCGTGTGGGGCAGCCCCATAGATCGTGTGGGTGAGCCCCATAGAGCGTGTGGGTGAGCCCCATAGAGCGTGTGGGTCAGCCCCATAGATCGTGTGGGTGAGCCCCATAGAATGTGTGGGTCAGCTCCATAGAAAGTGTGGGTCAGCCCCATAGGAAGTGTGGGTCAGCCCCATAGAGCGTGTGGGTCAGCTCCATAGAAAGTGTGGGTCAGCCCCATAGATCGTGTGGGTCAGCCCCATAGAAAGTGTGGGTCGCGACCCATAGAGAGTGTGGGGCGGACCCATAGAAAGCGTGGGGGCGAGCCCCATAGAAAGTGTGGGGTGGGACCCATAGAAAGTGTGGGTCAGCCCCATAGAGAGTGTGGGTCAGCCCCATAGAAAGTGTGGGGTGGGACCCATAGAAAGTGTGGGTCAGCCCCATAGAAAGTGTGGGTCAGCCCCATAGAGCGTGTGGGTCAGCCCCATAGATCGTGTGGGTCAGCCCCATAGATCGTGTGGGTCAGCCCCATAGAGCGTGTGGGTCAGCCCCATAGATCGTGTGGGTCAGCCCCATAGATCGTGTGGGTCAGCCCCATAGATCGTGTGGGTCAGCCCCATAGATCGTGTGGGTCAGCCCCATAGAAAGTGTGGGTCAGCCCCATAGAGCGTGTGGGTCAGCCCCATAGAGCGTGTGGGTCAGCCCCATAGAGCGTGTGGGTCAGCCCCATAGAGCGTGTGGGGCAGCCCCATAGAAAGTGTGAGGCAGCCCCATAGAAAGTGTGGGTCGCGACCCATAGATCGTGTGGGTCAGCCCCATAGATCGTGTGGGTCAGCCCCATAGGAAGTGTGGGTCAGCCCCATAGATCGTGTGGGGTGGGACCCATAGATTGTGTGGGTCAGCCCCATAGAGCGTGTGGGTCAGCCCCATAGGAAGTGTGGGTCAGCCCCATAGAAAGTGTGGGTCAGCCCCATAGATCGTGTGGGGCGCGACCCATAGATCGTGTGGGTCAGCCCCATAGGAAATGTGGGTCAGCCCCATAGATTGTGTGGGTCAGCCCCATAGCGCCGCTGACCTTGCCGACGGCGGAGAAGAAGTCCTCGAGGTCTCGGGGCCGGATGCGCGCCGCCAGCTGCATGCAGAACACCGTGCGCGCGTCGCGCTCCTCGGGGCTCAGGCTGCCCAGCGGCTCCCTGCACGCAACGGGTTATGGCGGGTTATCGTGTCATCACGTGTCATCACGTGTCAGAGCGTGTTATCGCGTGTTATCACGTGTCAGAGCGTGTTAGAGCGTGTTATCACGTGTCAGAGCATGTTAGAGCGCGTCGGAGCGTGTTAGAGGGTGTTATCATGTGGTAGAGCGTGTTAGAGTGCGTTAGAGCGTGTTATCACGTGTCAGAGCGTGTTAGAGCATGTTAGAGTGTGTTATCACATGTTAGAGCGTGTTAACACATGTTAGAGCGTGTTAGAGTGCGTTAGAGCGTGTTATCACGTGTCAGAGCGTGTTATCACGTGTTAGAGTGTGTCAGAGCATGTTAGAGCATGTTATCATGTGTCATCACGTGTCATCATGTGTCAGAGCATGTTATCACATGTCATCATGTGTTAGAGCGTTAGAGTGTGTCACAGCGTGTTATCACGTGTCAGAGCGTGTTAGAGCGTGTTATCATGTGTCATCACGTGTCACAGCGTGTTATCATGTGTTAGAGCGTGTCAGACCGTGTTATCATGTGTTGGAGTGTGTTAGAGCGTGTCATAGCGTGTTAGAGCGTGTTATAGTGTGTTATGTGTTAGAGCGTGTTATCACGTGTCATCACGTGTTAGAGCGTGTTATCACGTGTCATCACGTGTCATAGCGTGTTATCACGTGTTATCACGTGTTAACACGTTAGAGCGTGTTAGAGTGTGTTATCACGTGTTAGAGTGTGTTAGCATGCGTTATCATGTGTTACAGCGTTATCACGTGTCATCACGTGTTAGAGCGTGTTAGAGCGTGTTAGAGCGTGTTATCGTGTGTTAGAGCATGTTAGAGCGTGTTATCATGTGTTAGAGCGTGTTATCACATGTTAGAGCGTGTTATCATGTGTTAGAGCGTGTTATCACGTGTCATCACGTGTCATCACATGTTAGAACATGTTATCACGTGTCAGAGCATGTTAGAGCGTGTCGGAGCGTGTTAGAGTGTGTTATCATGCGTTAGAGCGTGTTATCGTGTGTTAGAACATGTTATCACGTGTTATCGCGTGTTATCATGTGTTAGAGCGTGTTATCACGTGTTATCACATGTTAGAGCGTGTTAGAGCATGTTATTGTGTGTTAGAGTGTGTTAGAGCGTGTTAGAGCGTGTTATCACGTTATCACGTGTCAGAGCGTGTTATCATGTGTCATCATGTGTTAGAGTGTGTTAGAGCGTGTTATCGTGTGTTAGAGCATGTCAGAGCGTGTTATCACGTGTTAGAGCGTGTTAGAGCGTGTTATCATGTGTTAGAACGTGTTATGTGTTAGAGCGTATTATCGTGTGTTAGAGTGTGTCAGAGCATGTTAAAGCGTGCTATCATGTGTTAGAGCATGTCATCACGTGTCAGCATGTTATCACGTGTTATCACGTGTTATCACGTGTTAGAGTGTGTTAGAGCATGTTACAGCGTGTTATCACGTGTTAGAGTGTGTTATCATGTGTTAGAGTGTGTCATCACGTGTTATGTGTTAGAGCGTGTCATCACGTGTTATCACGTGTTAGAGCATATTAGAGCATGTTATGGTGTGTTATCACATGTTAGCACATGTTATCACCTGTTATCACATGTTAGAGCATTAGAGCGTGTTATCGTGTGTTAGAGCATGTTATCGTGTGTTAGAGCGTGCTAGAGCATGTCATAGCGTGTTAGAGCATGTCAGAGCGTGTTTGTTAGAGCATGTTATCGTGTGTTATCGTGTCAGAGCACGTTAGAGCGTGTTAGTGTGTTAGAGCATGTGTGTTAGAGCGTGTTATCACGTGTTATCACGTGTTATCGTGTGTTATCACATGTCAGAGTGTGTTAGAGCGTGTTAGAGCATGTTATCACGTGTTAGAGCACGTTATCACGTGTTATCATGTGTTAGAGCGTGTTAGAGCGTGTTATGGTGTGTTAGAGTGTGTCAGAGCGTGTTAGAGCGTGTTATCATGTATTAGAACATGTTATCGCGTGTTATGTGTTAGAGCGTGTTATCACGTCTCATCGTGTTAGAGCAGGTTATCGCGTGTTACAGCATGTCACCCCATGTTACCCCATGTTACCCCATGTCACCCCATGTCACCCCATGTTATCCCATGTTATCCCATGTTACCCCATGTTATCCCATGTTATCCCATGTTATCCCATGTTACCCCATGTTACCCCATGTTACCCCATGTTATCCCATGTTACCCCATGTTATCCCATGTTACCCCATGTTACCCCATGTTATCCCATGTTACCCCATGTTATCCCATGTTATCCCATGTTATCCCATGTTATCCCATGTTATCCCATGTTACCCCATGTTACCCCATGTTATCCCATGTTACCCCATGTTACCCCATGTTACCCCATGTTACCCCATGTTATCCCATGTTACCCCATGTTATCCCATGTTACCCCATGTTATCCCATGTTATCCCATGTTATCCCATGTTATCCCATGTCCCATGTTATCCCATGTTATCCCATGTTATCCCATGTTACCCCATGTTATCCCATGTTACCCCATGTTATCCCATGTTACCCCATGTTATCCCATGTCATCCCATGTTATCCCATGTTATCCCATGTTATCCCATGTTATCCCATGTTATCCATGTTATCCCATGTTATCCCATGTTATCCCGTGTCTCACCTCACGGGGCTCTTCTCCCGGTACAAGGGGCTCTTGCTGTGCCCAAAGCGGCGCCTGGGGGGCAGAACATGGGGGTCAATGGGGGCCGATATGGGGCGGATGTGGGGCTGATATGGGGCGGATGTGGGGCTGATATGGGGCGGATGTGGGGCTGATATGGGGCGGATGTGGGGTTGATATGGGGCGGATGTGGGGCTGATATGGGGCGGATGTGGGGCTGATATGGGGCGGATGTGGGGGTTGATATGGGGCGGATGTGGGGCTGATATGGGGCGGATGTGGGGCTGATATGGGGTGGATGTGGGGGTTGATATGGGGTGGATATGGGGCGGATGTGGGGTTGATATGGGGCGGATGTGGGGGTTGATATGGGGCGGATGTGGGGCTGATATGGGGCGGATGTGGGGCTGATATGGGGCGGATGTGGGGCTGATATGGGGCGGATGTGGGGGCTGATATGGGGCGGATGTGGGGGTTGATATGGGGCGGCTGTGGGGCTGATATGGGGCGGATGTGGGACTGATGTGGGGTTGATATGGGGCGGATGTGGGGGTTGATATGGGGCGGATGTGGGGTTGATATGGGGCGGATGTGGGGCTGATATGGGGCGGATGTGGGGTTGATATGGGGCGGATGTGGGGCTGATATGGGGCGGATGTGGGGTTGATATGGGGCGGATGTGGGGCTGATTTGGGGCGGATGTGGGGTTGATATGGGGCGGATGTGGGGCTGATATGGGGCGGATGTGGGGCTGATACGGGGCGGATGTGGGGCTGATGTGGGGCGGATGTGGGGGTTGATATGGGGCGGAGGTGGGGCTGATATGGGGCGGATGTGGGGGTTGATATGGGGCGGATGTGGGGGCTGATATGGGGCGGATGTGGGGCTGATATGGGGCGGATGTGGGGGTTGATATGGGCCGGATGTGGGGCTGATATGGGGCGGATGTGGGGCTGATATGGGGCGGATGTGGGGCTGATATGGGGCGGATGTGGGGCTGATATGGGGCGGATGTGGGGGTTGATATGGGGCGGATGTGGGGCTGATATGGGGCGGATGTGGGGGTTGATATGGGGCGGATGTGGGGGTTGATATGGGGCGGATGTGGGGGTTGATATGGGGCGGATGTGGGGGTTGATATGGGGCGGATGTGGGGCTGATACGGGGCGGATGTGGGGGTTGATATGGGGCAGATGTGGGGGTTGATATGGGGCGGATGTGGGGCTGATGTGGGGCAGATGTGGGGCTGAGTGGAGCAGTTGTGGGTTGGATATAGGTGAGATGTGGGTCAACTGTGGGGCTGATCTGGGGTCGGTTTGGAGCTGTTTTGGGTTGATTTGGGGCTAATGTGGGTCAGCTGCGGAGCAGCCGTGAGGCAGCTATGGGGCGGCTATGGGGCGGCTATGGGGTAGCTATGGGTCAGCTCTTGGGCAGCTGTGGGGCAGCTGTGGGGCAGCTACGGGGCACCTACGGGGCAGCTATGGGGCGGATGTAGGGCACCTATGGGTCAGCTATGGGGCGGATGTGGGGCACCTATGGGTCAGCTATGGGTCAGCTATGGGGCAGCTATGGGGCGGATGTGGGGCACCTATGGGTCAGCTATGGGGCAGATGTGGGGCACCTATGGGGCAGCTATGGGGCAGATGTGGGGCACCTATAGGTCAGCTATGGAGCACCTATGGGTCAGCTATGGGGCACCTATGGGTCAGCTATGGGTCAGCTATGGGGCACCTATGGGTCAGCTACGGGTCAGCTATGGGGCACCTATGGGTCAGCTACGGGTCAGCTATGGGGCACCTATGGGTCAGCTATGAGTCAGCTATGGGGCGGATGTGGGGCACCTATGGGTCAGCTATGGGGCACCTATGGGTCAGCTACGGGTCAGCTATGGGGCGGATGTGGGGCACCTATGGGTCAGCTATGGGTCAGCTGTGGGTCAGCTATGGGTCAGCTGTGAGTCAGCTATGGGGCACCTATGGATCAGCTATGGGGCACCTATGGGTCAGCTATAGGGCACCTATGGGTCAGCTATGGGGCGGATGTGGGTCAGCTATGGGGCGGATGTGGGGCAGCTATGGGGTGAATGTGGGTCAGCTATGGGGCAGCTATGGGGCGGATGTGGGGCACCTATGGGTCAGCTATGGGTCAGCTATGGGTCAGCTATGGGTCAGCTCCCAGCTATGGGGCAGCTCCCCACCGTGGGTCAGCTATGGGGCAGCTATGGGGCGGATGTGGGGCACCTATGGGTCAGCTATGGGTCAGCTATGGGTCAGCTATGGGTCAGCTATGGGGCGGATGTGGGGCAGCTATGGGGTGGATGTGGGTCAGCTATGGGGCGGATGTGGGGCAGCTATGGGGTGAATGTGGGTCAGCTATGGGTCAGCTATGGGGTGGATGTGGGCCACCTATGGGTCAGCTATAGGCCAGCTATGGGGCACCTATGGGGCACCTATAGGCCAGCTATGAGGCACCTATGGGGCACCTATGGGTCAGCTATGGGGCACCTATGGGTCAGCTATGGGGTGAATGTGGGTCAGCTATGGGGTGAATGTGGGTCAGCTATGGGGCGGATGTGGGCCACCTATGGGTCAGCTATAGGCCAGCTATGGGTCAGCTATGGGGTGAATGTGGGGCAGCTATGGGTCAGCTATGGGGCACCTATGGGTCAGCTATGGGTCAGCTATGGGGCAGCTATGGGGCACCTATGGGTCAGCTATGGGGCACCTATGGGGCAGCTATGGGTCAGCTGTGGGTCAGCTATGGGGCAGCTATGGGGTGGATGTGGGGCGGATGTGGGGCTCACCGGGCGCGGTCGTCGCGGCGCCGGTCGCGGCTGCGGGAGCGGCTCCCCCCCCGGCGGCGCTCGCGGCTGCGGCTCCGGTGACGGCTCCGGCGCTCGCGGCTCCGGCTCCGGCGGCGCCGATCCCGGTCCCGGTCCCGGCTTGGGGGGCAATGGGGGGCAATGGAATCAGTGGGGATCAATGGGGCTCAATAGGAGTCAATGGGTGTCAATGGGAGTCAATGGGAGTCAATGGGGGTCAATGGAGTCAATGGGAGGCAATGGGAGTCAATGGGAGTCAATGGGGGCAAGTCAATGGGGAGTCAATGGGGGCAATGGGGGAGTCAATGGGAGTCAATGGGGGGCAATGGAGTCAATGGAGGGCAATGGGGGTCAATGGGTGTCAATGTTGGTCAATGGGGGTCAATGGGGGGCAATGGGGGGCAATGGGGGGCAATGGGGGGCAATGGGTGTCAATGTTGGTCAGTGGGAGTCAATGGGGGTCAATGGAGTCAGTGGGGGGCAATGGGGGTCAATGGGGGGGCATTGATCCCCATTGACTCCATGGATCCTCATTGACACCCATTGACCCCCATTGAACTCCATTGACCCCCATTGACTCCCATTGGCCCCACTGATTCCATTGACTTCCATTGCCCCACATTGATCCCCATTGAACTCCATTGACTCCCATTGACCCCACTGAGCCCCACTGACCCCCATTGACTCCTATTGGCCCCACTGATTCCATTGACTTCCATTGCCCCACATTAATCCCCATTAATCTCCATTGACTCCCACTGATCCCCATTGACCCCCATTGCCCCCCATTGACACCCACTGCCCCCCACTGCCCCCCATTGACTCCATTGCCCCCCATTGAGCCCCATTGACTCTCCTTTGACTCCCATTGACCCATGACCCCCATTGACTCCCATCAACCCCCATTGACACCCATTGATTTCCACTGACCCCCATTGACTCCCATTGGCCCCACAGACCCCCATTGACTCACACTGCCCCACATTGACCCCCCTTGACTCCATTGATCCCCATTGCCCCCCATTGCCCCCCACTGACCCCCATTGATCCCCACTGACACCCATTGCCCCCCATTGTCCCCATCGCCCCCCATTGCCCCACATTGCCCCCATTGACTCCCATTGCCCCCCATTGAGCCCCATTGACCCCCATTGCCCCCCATTGACCCCCATTGCCCCCCACCTGTGTCTGTGCTCACGGCTCCGGCTCCGGCTCCTGCTCCGCTTCTTCCGGCTGCGGCCCCACTGCCCCCCATTGACTCCATTGCCCCCCATTGCCCGTAGAGTCCCATTGCCCCCTACTGCCCCCCATTGACTCCCATTGCCCCCCACTGCCCCCCATTGACTCCCATTGCCCCCCACTGCCCCCCATTGAGCCCCATTGACCCCCATTGACTCCATTGCCCCCCATTGCCCCCCACCTGTGTCTGTGCTCACGGCTCCGGCTCCGGCTCCTGCACCCTTCTTCCGACTGCCCATGGGACCCCAGGGGGGGGGGGGACCCCCATAGGCACCCCATAGTACCCCATTGGCACCCCATAGCGCCCCATAGGGACTCCATTGACCCCCATAGGGACCCCCTTGACCCCCATAGGAACCTCATAGCGCCCCATAGGGACCCCATAGCGCCCCATAGGGACCCCACAGTGCCTCATAGGCACCCCATAGGGACCCCATAGCGCCCCATAGGGACCCCATAGCGCCCAATAGGCACCCCATAGTGCCCCATAGGCACCCCATAGGGACCCCACTGACCCCCATAGGGACACCATAGCGCCCCATAGGGATCCCACTGACCCCTACAGGCACCCCATTGACCCCCATAGGCACCCCATAGGGACCCCATAGGCACCCCATAGCGCCCCATAGGCACCCCACTGACTCCCATAGGGACCCCACTGACCCCCATAGGCACCCCATAGGCACCCCATAGCGCCCCATAGGGACCCCACTGACCCCCATAGGGACCCCATTGACCCCCATAGGCACCCCACTGACTCCCATAGGGACCCCACTGACCCCCATAGGGACCCCATAGAGCCCCATAGGCCCCCCACAGCGCCCCATAGGGACCCCATTGACCCCCATAGGGACCTCATAGCGCCCCATAGGGACCCCATAGTGACCCATAGAGACACCACTGACCCCCAAAGGCACCCCATAGCACCCCATAGGGACCCAATAGTGCCTCATAGGCACCCCATAGGGACCCCATAGCGCCCCATAGGGACCCCACAGCGCCCCATAGGGACCCCATAGTGCCTGCCTCATAGGCAACCAATAGGGACCCCATAGCGCCCCATTGACCCCCATAGGCACCCCATAGGCACCCCATTGACCCCCATAGGCACCCCATTGACCCCCATAGGCACCCCATAGGGACCCCACTGACCCCCATAGGGACCCCATTGACCCCAAGAGGCACCCCATAGCGCCCCATAGGGACCCCATAGCGACCCCACTGACCCCCATAGGCACCCCATAGTGCCCCATAGGCACCCCATTAACCCTCATAGACACCCCATTGACCCCCATAGGCACCCCATAGTGCCCCATAGGCACCCCACTGACTCCCATAGCGACCCCATAGAGCCCCATAGGGACCCCACTGACCCCCATAGGGACTCCACTGACCCCCACTGACCCCCATAGCGCCCCATAGGAACCCCACAGCGCCCCATAGGGACCCCATTGACCCCCATAGCGCCCCATAGGCCCCCATAGCGCCCCATAGATCCCCTTCCCCACCTGCTTTCCTTCTTGGCCTCTTTGCTGCTCTCCTCCGGTGCCTGCTATGGGGTGGAGGGGGTCCATAGTGATCACGTGACCTCTATGCCCCACCC